CCCTTATCATCCTACAGAGCAGATACCCAGGGCCACCGACACTGAAGGAGCTGGGAAAGGAAGTCACCAAAAAAGAGGAGCCGGACGGTGGAGTCCTGGCCCTCCGAGTGAGGCAGGGAGCATGGCACCCACCTGGCTGGGTGGTGGTGGGAGGTAGGGGGGTGCTGGTGGTGGTGGTTGGCGTGGTGGTGGTTGTGGGCGTGGTGGTGGTGGTCATTTTTGCGGTGGTGTTTTTTGCAGTGGTGACGCGCTGCGGTCGCTCATACGCTGGCAAGCAAAGAGAAGAAGCAGGAGACACTTACTGGGGGGGAGTGGAGGGTTTCCTTGCCAGCCCGCAGGGCTGCTGCTGGGGCTGAACTGGTGACCGATTTCTCAGAGCGGTTACAACTGGGGCATCAAGAGGATTAAGGCGATGGCAGCTCGATGACGCTGGATGCAGCGAGCGCGTGCGTGCGTGCAGGGGCTGGAGGCTGTGGCTGTAGCAGCTTACTCTGTTGTTGCAGATATTGGCTTAAATACTTACAGCTCTATCATAAACTAATTGCCAATTAAGCTGAAAAGGGGAAAGGAAAACATGCCCGGGCAGAGATGGGCTGAGGAGGGGGCAGGAGGGGCAGAGGAGCCCCCAGCCCGCTCTGCCGAGAGGTGCCCAGTGCCCACGCGCCAGCTGGCAGAGCCCTGCCTCCCCCAGCTCCATGAGCAACACCACTCCCTTCTGCCGCCCCACAGGCAGCAAACCACCCGGCACCATCAAACCAGCCCGTACCATTTCCATGGGTTCATTTCCAGGGGTTCAGCAAGGCAAATCAACTGACGGCTTAATGTCAGCAAGCGCCCCTGGAGCGGAGCGGGAGCGGTCCCGGGGGCTCCCCCCGCCGCACTGACCACGACAGCCCGAACGAAAATAACACTCGGAACACAAATTCCGACTTAACTTACACCTGCTGCCCTCCTGTCCTTGTTTGTCCCACTGCTTCATGCAGATTATCATGCTTAATTTCATAATAGCCCTGAGCTAGTTTAAATACTTAATTTAGGTCACTTCTAGTTTCCTATGCAGGCTAAATAATCTCTCCTTAACTGGCCTTGGACACAAATCCCTCCTGTCCAGCTCCTGCGCATCGCTCCCAGCAGCCCCCCCAGCTGCTCCCTAGCAGAAAAATGTGATGGGAAACATTTTCCAGTGGAACAAAGGAGGCACTGAGAGCGCCGAGCTCTGTTAAGGGGGAAGAGTAGAGTTATCAAGATGGTTTTGACTGGAAAAGCAAAGAATATTTTGGACCATTAAAACATGTAATTTTTTAAAATCCTAAATTCCTTAAGGGAGACTTTTAATTTTTATTTGGATTTTTTTAACCATTTAAATTTAACCACTTAAAATCTAAATATGGTTCATTTACCCAGAAAACCGTCCTCCACTTTTCAATTAGGTGCATTTTTCTTAATTGCATTTGCATTTCTCTGAAACTATTTCTCCTCCAATTCTTTCCACTTGCCTGCAAACCAAACAATTCATTATTCATTCAGCACTCTGATTTGTTTCTTCTGGAGGGTAATTCCGAGCCACAGGATTCAAACCCAGGCTTCTGCTTACCCAAAACTCAAGGCTCTTTGATATCAAACTACCTCCAGCTTTGTTAAATAAGGAGTCCTATCACACCATCAATCTTTCAGCAGAAATCCCCACTGAGCTCTACCATCTCTGCTGCCAACTCTTCGCAGACGTGTGCTCACATACATCCCCGTGTACATACAGATGGACACACGCTCTATATACGGGTTTTTATCGATAGCCCAAGGTGACCCAGACTGGGTGCTATGCCAAATAATTCAAACCCAGCTCCTCCTCAGAGCAGGAGTCTGCAATACTGGGGGGGAAAAGTTCACAGAGAGCACTGGTGGTTTTGAAGAGTCTTTTTTTATTTCCTTTCCGGCTGCCATTCTAACGAACCTCGTGGGGGGAAACCATGCCAGAGGAAAAGGCAAAATGAGGCTACTGAAGTCAAAGGAAGAAAATATAAGACTCTTTGACAGGACTGAAAATGAGGCACAATTAGGGAAGACTTACTGCCTGGAAAATGATAATGGACAAAAAATAACCATTTTTTTTGTTGTTGTTCCTAGTGACATCCGCAAGGAGCATGCACCGGGGTGTTTAATGCCAGCATTTCAGTTACGTTTGTACTTACTGCCAAAGGCTGAGCCTGCAGCTGCACCTGGAAGAAAACAAGGAGAAGGCGGGTCACTGGAAGCAGGACGCCATCAGCTCTGGTACCAGCGCAAGACCGGACAGACAGACGGCGTGGCACCCAACAGCCAGTAGCAGGGCCCTCGCTCAGAGCCGCATCAGTTTGCTGCAACATCTGAAAAGCTGCTTTTGTCAAACCACAGAGGCAACCAGACAGGGCTGTCTGAGGCTGTGCCATCTCAAGCTTTTCACCTGGGGAAGAAAACAGCGTGGTCCTCACGGAGGGGTTTTTCTGTTAACCATTTCCTTGACCTAGCACTGCAGCCCCGCAAAGGACAAGCTCATCTGAAGTTCACTCTGCGAGGTGCGAGGTGCAGGGTCTGAACCTGGCAGTGTCACCCAGGGCAGCTGTCCGTCAGCAAGGAGGGTCAAACACCCTCCCACCGCAGCACTGGCTCGACCGGACACTGCAAAGGCACTGGCTTCCAACCTGCCGGTCGGAGGCTCTCCAAAGACCAGCGTTGGGCACCTGGGAGACCAATGGCCATGGTTCTGTTCTCCCTACTGGAACAAGCGGATGAATCCTGGGAAATCTCAGCTTTGCATGAACATAAAGCACAGGACTACTGATGGAAGGGGTAGGACCACCAAGAGGAGAGGGGTCCAGAGAACTGCCTCTGTTGCAGGGGAAGAGGATCCCGATGCGGGGAGGAAGAAGCAAGAGAGTTGGGATGGGGGCTGGAAGAAGACTAAGTGACAGATGGGAAGAGAGATGAATGGGAGAAGAAAGAGCAGAGGAGAAAGAGAAATATTCAGGGAGCGGAGGGGAGGAAAAGAGAGAGAACAGCATGTCTGTGCCTGTCAACACCAGAAACTCTCCCAGGCTCCTTTGAAGCAATGCAGCCGCTTGGTGGGAGCTGACAAGCTCGTTCCCTTTCAAAGAACCTGCTCGTCTACCAGCCCTGGCACACACAAAACATTCCTGTCACGGCCTTCGGAGCCTGAATTTCAGCTTTGATCATCTTAAAGCACATAAATCTTTCAAAAAATTTGGGGGGAGGGAGAGAAGAGATTCTCTTTGGTAATGCTCAAAGCCGCTGCTTGAAAGGCTGGAGTGGCTACTGTGGCTCTGTGACATTTAATCAAGTCTGCTAATGTGGACTGGACAGAAACCCAGGAGAAACTGGCCCATCTGTGATGTTTCCTGCCCCAATTCCCCTGCTCGAACGACGGTGGGTATGAATCCTTCATCTCGCCTGCGCGCCTTTGCTTCTGTCAGCGCCTTGCTGCAGCAGGCAATTGGATGAGATTGGAGCTGCGCAGAGGGACGGCCGCTCGCGGAGCTTCCCTGAAATGCCGACATACGCAGAACGGGATCCAGAGAGCAACCCGCACTCCTGGAGCTGAGCAGTGCCAGTGCTGAGCCCATCGACTGCTTGAAAGCCAGTGCTCCACTGTGGCTAAATGTCTTCTTCACAGGGCTGCAATTTGCCCTGCCACAAAGCCACAGGCCTCTATCTTGACCCCAAGCCATCCTTCCTATTTTCAGCCAGCGTTTGGACTCATCACACATCTACCAATAGCCAACAAATCACCTCTGCATCCACCCAGATCCTCTCTCATTTCTCTCTGTACCAAGACAGAGGTAAACACCCGCTTCCCTTTCGAAAGCTGAGCATCCTGCAGAGCCGCGCACTCATTCGGGATGGAGGAGGACAAGACGAGAACCCGCTCCCATCTGTGGGCGTTGTGCAGACCAAGGTGGTGGGAGTGCAGCCAGGGCTGGCTCGCTGCAGCTTACTTACATGCGTTGGGGGACCCATTGGGGAGAGGCAGGTAGGATCCTGCTCGCCAAGACCTGGAGCGAAAGTTCTTCTTGCACTTGCCGCAGTCCTGCCCCGTGGTGTTGTGCTCGCACTCACACTGAAGGCTGCCCTCTTTGAAGGTGCACAGGTTAGCGTGGAGGTTGCATTTACACCTGGAAGAGGAAGACAGGAGAAGAGCTGTCAGGTACTGCTGCTACTTCTCCTTGCTGCTGGCGTAGTGCCACCTGTGTGCATGAAAACGTAGAGGTGAAGCGGGACTGGTTACCCTTTCCTGTTCTTTCTGCAGGAGCTTTTCACTGAACGCCGGGGTTTTACCTGGGTGTCTGGTGCTGGGGTTATGATGTCCAGTCCTCGCCCAGGGTGGATCTGCAGTCTCTATTCCAAGATGAGAGATGCTTTACTCCCACCATCCGACTGTGGTAGCGCAGATCGTTCAATGGTAAGTCAACAGCTCCAGCTGAGACTCCAGTGAGGAGTCACACACCTCTTTTTCAGAAAACTGAGTCATTTGCTCAGATCTAGGCATTTACTTGGAGGCAGAGAGCACAGTCTCGAGCTTTCGATGGGGAAGCATAGCTAGCACCGGTTGGACTCAGCCCCTTGACCCCTGCACTGTGTGCCAAAGGCAAGAGTGTCTTCTCCCGTGGTGTGAAGTTGCACAACACAAACCCTTTTCCCTGTGTGCGGTGCAGCCCCAGCCTGCTGTCACCAAAATAACAGAGAGCAAGTCACCACCAGAATCTGCCTTTTAGTCCCCACTTCAACAGAGAAGGCAACAACAAAAAACACTATTCAGCAATTTGCAAACATTAACGAAGTTTTAATGAGCTGTAGTGCAGTATGCAGGGAATAATTATCTCAGTGCACAGTAATTCCTGTTGCTCACACTCTGGAGGTGACTTGCGCAGAGCACGGAGGCTGCGCCCATAACTCACACGTGGCTCTAGTGACTCCCGGGCTGGAGCTGAGGCCATAAGACAGAGACTTTGGGGACCAAAACCTCTCATTTCATTCCAGATAGTGGATCCCTAGCACAGCCCGCTGGTTTTTCAATGCTTCGTGCGATAATTTACACTCTCAGAAGGAGAGCCATTAGGAAGCACTAATGCTGTGCCTTATGTGACTGTGTGGAAAAGTCTGAACAGGCAGCGCTTCGTTTTACAGGGCTAATTGCACGAGAGATGCAGAGCTGAGGGAAACAAACTGCTTGCAGAGAAGACAGAGGAAACATGGCCAGCTTCTTCTTGTGCTCTGCCTGCGCTGGGATAAACAGACTGGCTTAGGCTGGGGGCCGCAAGCCAGGTCCGTCCCGGCTGTTGGTGCTGTGCGTGCCACCAGCTCCTGGTGCCTCTCCCCCAGAGATGCTCCCCAGCCGCCTGCCTGACCCGCGCAGGCTGCCTCTGCTGTGCTCCTCCTCACGCACGGCTGGATGAGCTGACCTCACGTATGATTTTTTTCCTTCCCCCTCCCCTCCCTGTCCTTAATTCTAGCAAACCCCGCTCAGAGGCTAAGCATAAGCTGGATGAATGGTCTGCCTCCCCATCTTACAACCCTGCCCTGTCTCAGACCAAGCAGGGGAGGGAGTAGCGCGGTCTCTAAAAGGGGGGAAGGAAGAAAACGTGGTCCATGAGGCAGAGGCAGACACACTCGGCATGCTCCACTTGAATCTGTGTTAGCGGGAGCTGGAGAGGCCGTGTCACGGCTGAAAGCACTAACAGTCTCCGAGCACCAGTGCTCTGGGAGCCAGACGTGAATCTGAGCATCCGGGGAAAGGAAGTGGCTTTGGCTGGGATCTACACATGAGGGATCCTGTATTTCAGCTGCTCCGTGTCCCCTCTGCCTCTGGTGAGGGAGGGTTTTGGCTGCACCGTCCCAGCCCTTTGGCAGAGGCGATGCCCAGCCCCGGGGTGCTGCGGAGCCTGGTTCTGAATTATTCAGTGTCCACACAGCACAGTCTCCTTCCCTCACTTCAGAATGAGCAGGCGGGAGGAAAGCAGGCGAGAGAGCGGGTTAAAGCAGGTCAAAGCCTCACCGCTACTGCCCTGGGCCCAGGCTGAATCTGAGCAAGAGCTCATGCTGCTCGCTCGCTGCTGCGGAGGGCTGGGAGCCGGACACCCGCTCCTGGGACAGCCCCCAGCCGCCTCCTGCCCCTGCAGAGGCACCCCCACACTCCCCTGCCAGCGGGGTGGGTCCTCACGGATGTCCCTGGGCACTGCTCTTCCCAGAAAAGACCCTCACTTCCTAATCGGTGTAAACAAGGAAAATTAAATAAGGAGGGAGCAGAGGCAGCTGGTCACCCTGCCTGTGCCCGGGTCACCTCGTTTCTCTCTGCTCGGCCCTTCGCCACGGCAAAAGTTTTGTTATCCAAAGGATCAATTTTACCGGGGAATTGCTTTCTGAATTCGACCTTTGAGGATCATCAATCTAAGCAGAGAACTATAACCCCAGCAAGCTGACCCCACAACACAGCACTTTTCAGCCCAATCAATCAGGCTGCATTATTTAATAGCCAACAGCCGAGTGCCTTCAGCCAGCCCTGACTGCCAACCCCATTTTGTGCAAAGGTTTCTGCATCCAGGCCTCCCTGCTGCTCGTGCTTGATGGCTTTAACCCCTTCTCCAGACTTCTCTGCCTCCTCCTCTGGGCCTCCAGCCCAAGGATGCGCTCAGCAACGGTCTGTGCACAGCGTCTCTCCCCAGCCAAGATCCAGCTGGTGGAGGCTGGAGTAAATGACATTAGCCCAGTCCCCTGGGTGGGAGCTGCTAGTCCTGCTTGCCTTCGCTCATCCTCCTCGGCAGCCAGCCACGGGAGGAGAGAGACGATGAAGGGAAAGGTTAGGAGCTACTTAGCAACGAGGCTTAAATAGCAGCGGTGGGGCAGACACCTGCGCTGTGTCCTGCGGAAGGCAGCCATGGCCCTGCTCCAGGCCCGCTCCAGCAAAGTGCTGGTTGCAATATGGTGTCTCTGGCTCTGGAGGTGATCTGAGGAGCTGGGAATGCTTCTCCTCTCCAGCTCATGGGACGAGGCTGGGAGTGACGGAGCGGTTTCTCGGTAAGCATTCAGGTCCTGCGTAGGATGCAG